AACAACCAATGTGATTGAATGCACTTTCTGTGGTAAACATGGACACCCTGAGGACAAATGTTTTAAGAAACATGGTTTTCCTGCTAACTATGTTCCCAGAACTACTACTTCTTCATATGGAAGAGGCAGAGGATATGCTCATTCTGCAGTCACCGGTCCTGATGATTCTGTCAAGCTTTCAAAGGCTGATTATGACAAGTTAATGGCTCTAGTTGGGAACTCTAGGCAGCACTCTACTCACACAGCTGCTGCTTTCACAACTACTACCACTCCATCAGGTACATGTTTCTTGTCAGCACCAACCCACATCAATCAAAACCACAATTTCACATGGTCAACAAATCCCTGCCACTTACAAAGGCACAATCCATTGCACTCCTGATTTAACTCTTCAGGATGCTCTTTTTGTTCCTGGTTTCAGTTTCAATTTAGTCTCAGTCAGCAAACTCACTGCTTAAAATTCACTAAGTTTAACATTTCACTCCAACCTTTGTGTCATACAGGACCTGGAGCAGAAGAGAGTGACTGGTTCTGCTAGATTGACCAATGGCCTTTACTACCTAGAAGCCCCTAGTAATCCTAAGATCATCTCAGTTGCAAGATCAAACATTTTTTATTTAGGGCATTTCAGATTAGGACACCTGTCTCATTCTAAAATTCCTTATCTCAATCAATTTTGTAGCTCTATTGAAACTCAAAAGGGCTTACCCTGTGATGTTTGTCACTTTGCCAAGCAAAGGAGACTTCCTTTTCCATTGAGTCAGAATGTAACCCTACATCCTTTTGAACTCTTACATGTTGATATATGGGGGCCTAATCCAGTTCCTTCCTATGATTCTTACAAGTACTTTCTTACTATTTTTGATGATTTTTCAAGAATGACATGGGTCATTCTGCTTCAACTTAAATCAGAAGCTAGACCAAAATTGATTGCCTTTTGCAACCAAATGCAGAGGCAATTCCAAACAGCAATTAAAAGAATTCGCAGTGATCAAGGGAAAGAATTTGAAACGAATGAGTACTATGATTCACAAGGCATTATTCATGAAATGTCTTGTGTTGAGACTCCTCAATAAAACAGTAGAGTGGAAAGAAAACACCAGCATATTCTTGCTGTGGCCAGAGCCCTCAAATTCCAGGCTGACCTGCCACCTGGTTTCTGGAGTGATTGCATCAAATTAAACATGCAGTTTTTCTTATCAATCGTGTCCCTTCTTCTGTTCTTCACAACAAAACTCCCTATGAAAAACTATACAACATTTCCCCTGACCTCACTGATTTAAAGGTCTTTGGCTGTTTATGTTATGCCTCCACCTTGGCTAATCACAGAACCAAATTTCAACCAAGAGCAAGAAAGGGTGTGTTTTTGGGTTACAAGCCTGGTATAAAGGGTTACAAAATTTATGATCTTGATTCTCATGATGTCTTTGTCTCAAGGGATGTAATCTTTTATGAATCTCATTTTCCATTTCATTCTTTGACTCCCAGCCACACACAAACCCTGATTCTGATCTTCTTTTCCCACTACCTGAACCCACTATTTCCCTTCTTCATGATCCCCCTCCTCCTATCCCTCCTTCCCAACCTACTCCATTGCATCTGTCCCCTCTACCCACTTCATCTTCACCCTCAAACAGTTCTTCTCCTACTTCTTCTTCTACCTCCCAATCCACTCACTCCACTAACTCATCTCCTTCAGATACCCCTTCCCCACCACAAGTCCCTCCTCCTATTCAACCCAGAAAATCAGCTAGACTATCCAAACCCCCTACTCACTTAACCAAAGATTACCACTGTTATCTTGCCTCTCAATCTAGTAGCACAGGTCACTCACTTCAGCATCAGGTCCAAGACTCAAGGTATGGCCTCTCTTCCATGATCTCTTATGACAATCTCTCACCATTTTACAAGAAATTTGTCATGAATATTTCTTCCTATGTTAAGCCCACTACCTACACAGAGGCATCTAAGTCAGATGAGTGGAATGACTCAATGAAACATGAAATCAGAGCTCTCATTCAAAACCAGACGTGGGATGTTGTTGAACTGCCCCCAGGAAAAAAAGCCTATTGGTAATAAGTGGGTATACAGAATCAAGATTCATCAGGATGGATCAATTGAAAGGTTCAAATCAAGGGTTGTTGCTAAAGGCCATACACAGCAGGAAGGAGTTGATTACCAGGATACTTTTGCCCTAGTTGTTAAAATGACCACTATCAGAACATTTTTAACTGTTGCTGCTTTAAGGAGTTGGCATATTCACCAATTGGATGTGTATAATGCCTTCCTTCATGGTGATTTACAAGAGGAGGTGTACATGACTCTTCCTAAGGGATATCAACCACCTCCTGGTTTCAAAAATCCAGTCTGTCGACTTAAGAAATCAATTTATGGCCTTAAGCAAGCCTCAAGGAAGTGGTTTTCTAAGCTGACTGATAAGCTTCAGCATGTTGGTTACTCTCAGAGCAAAGCATACCACTTTTTATTTTACAAGGTAACTGATTCTAGTTATACCTGTATCTTAATCTATGTGGATGATCTATTGGTGGGAGGCAATGACTTAGTGGCCATTCAGCAACTCAAAGACTTCCTTCATTCTGAATTCAGTATTAAGGACTTGGGTGTTCTTAGGTTCTTCCTTGGTATGGAGGTAGCAAGAAACAATTCAGGAATTCATCTTTCCCAAAGAAAGTATGCACTTGAGATTATTGAAGAAGCTAATTTCTTGGACTCAAGGCCAGTGACTACTCCTATGGACTACAAAACTCATCTCACCAGCAACTGTGAGTTGACTTTTGAAGATCCTGAAATGTATCCCACATTGGTGGGCAAACTCATCTATCTAACAACTACCCGCCCTGATATCAGTTTTGCGACCCAGCAAGTCAGTCGGTTCACGGGCAATCCAAGTGTGCAACATTTCAAAGCAGTTCAAAGGATCCTGAGATATCTCAAATGTGCCCCAGCAACAGGTATTTTCTTTTCATCTAAAGGTCAATTTCAACTTAAGGCATTTTCATATTCTGAGTGGGCTGCCTGTGTTGACACACGACGATTAATTACAGGGTATTGTGTTTACCTAGGTGAGTCACTCATCTCCTGGAAGAGCAAAAAGCAGCAAACTGTCTCCAGGTCTTCTTGCGAAGCCGAGTACCGTGCTCTGGCATTCTCTGCTTGTGAACTACAATGGATCCTTTATCTGCTTCGAGACTTCCAAGTCCTGCACCCACAACCAGCTCATCTTTATTGTGACAATCAGAGTGCGATTTACATAGCTGACAATCCTACCTTCCATGAACGCACCAAGCACATCAAACTCGATTGTCACTTGGTGCGCGACAAGCTTCAGTCGAAGATTCTCAAGCTATTTCATGTCTCCTCAACCCACCAACTTGCAGATCTCTTCACCAAGCCTTTATCACCTGGCCCCTTCCTCCAATTGCTGTCCAAGCTCGGTGTCCAGAATCTCTGCCCACCGGCTTGCGGGGGGGGGGGGGGGGGGGGGGTAACAGGAACTGAATCCCTAAAAATCAATGGCAATGGTCAAATGGGTTCCAAGGTTGAAGACACAATTCCATCCGACAGCGTTTTAGGTGGCTAAACAACTAGTCCAATCCTGTGCTGTTTTACTTAGCTTCTTCCTCTCTGTTTCTTTTGTTTCAAGTTGGTCATTGTTTTCTCACCAAGCTAATGGACAAAGTGTACTAGCTTGGCTGTCTTTTTCTGTAATCCGACTACCTATAAAGTGGCTGAACAGATCAATGAGAACTCTCAAGCATTATGGTTTTACCCACTTCACACATTTGTTTTCAATTGGCGAAGGATCGGGACTTCGTGGATATTTGGCGAAGCGCATGGAGAAGAAGAAGATAATGGTATTGTGCAGTCGATTGGTGAAGGATCACGATTTGGTAGGCCATTTGGTGTATCAGAATCGATTTGAGGAGAATTTGGATCGGAATTGCATAGGAAGGAAGGAGAGAGAAGAGGGGAAAAGTAAAGGTGAGTTGTATTTAATTTTCGTTGAATAGGTCTGTTGTTTTATATGTTTTCAATAAGAGCAGCACGTGTTAGTGTTAGTCATCTTTACTTGGTTGGAAAAACTAAAAATTATTTTGCTACCAAAATTATTTGGTTGGAAAAATTAGAAATCATTTTGCTACCAAATTATTTGGTCTCTTCAAGTTTTATTTGGTTTTCAGTACTTTGACTTTAATAGACAACCAAATTTTTAATATTTTAGCTACCAAAATATAATTGGTTGTCTGTACTATCCTTTTCGCGACCAATTTTAGTTTGATTATAAACTTTTTGATTGCAAAAGCTAGTTTTTGTTGCAGTGATACCTCGACCCTCATCCAGCCACAGTAGTAATGGTAATTCATCCACGGTGCGGGATGATCACTGCACTTACGAGTGCGACGACGGGACCTGCCAGAGGGATTTCCCAAATCTGTGTGACAGCCATGACCCGCACGAACTGCTGCGACTTGGGCGTATGCGCATGCATCTGCTACTCATGATCAAATCTGCCACTTTTTCCTCGTTGTAATTCTGGTTATGCTTTTTCCTTCTTTCTTTCCTTATTATAAAATAAAGCGGCTAATGATGATCGATCCGATCATCATCAGCTTAGTGAAGAGAAGAGAAGATGCTCATATTGAAAGCTTAATCGAATTTGATAGAGAATCGAACTAGAATGAACGGGAAAATCAAGAACTAACACCAGATTTACGTGGTTTCCCTGGAGAATCCATGACTAATCCACGGAAGAGTGTAAACCCTTCAAGCTACTGATCTTATTCTGAGTATATGTTCTGTATCTCACTCACACTACAAAATAAATCCCTTATAGCAGGGGTTTTTTGGGCTTTTAGCAAGGGGACAATCCGTCGCAAACGACCCCGGCAGCAGTTGCAATAACTTCTGTAAAACCGCCGCTACACCGACCGCCGCTGATTTTTCCCAGCGGTCAGTGCAACCCCTGGTGGAAGTGTTTGCGTCGGTTCCTGCAGGGGCCACAATTGCTGCAATTTTTCCTGACCACCATCGATCCCCGCAAGGGTTTGTGACGGTGTCAAACCCATGGTATTTTTAGCAGCAGTTGAAATAAAGTCCTAAGATATTCACAAGCAGCCTTTTAGAATTTTGCAGAAATACTGCTGTCCAACTTCAATTATAACTTTTAAAAGTGACATTAACTATTATCCATACCACATAACTGCACCAGTTAAGTTACATTTAACATTATACATGATTGTACATGTTTGAAACTCAACAACCAAAAATTTGCAAGAAAATTCAAAATGTGAAAGATAAAGATCTAGTAGGATCAACCCTCACTTTCTTCTGAATCACCCAAATCATGCACTAGATGTTAACCTGTTACAAAACCAACCAAAATAAATTAAACTATGATAACGGCAACTAGTCGAAGAAACAATCATGACAAAACAAAGTCTTGATCTCAAATTCTGGATTTCAATTATATTGTACAAACAAATACCTTAATCTTAAGCAGAAAACAAAACCCATAACCAAAAACTAAATAGGAAAGCTTGATTGGCTGAATTGAAGAGTTAGAGTGAACTAAATATAGACACTGAAGCTAGTTTGGCTGATAGTGCATTGAAAGACAAAAAAAAAGGAAAATTAAACTAAAGCTTGTTAAATGTTCCCATTGCTCCATGCATCATAAGTACAAGATGAACAACACAGTTAAACTAAAGTCTCTTAAATGTTCCCACTGCTACTAGCCGACCATTTTGTTTTTCAACCAAATATCAACCTTCTCGTGAAACTAACCAGAGTGCTAACTAGTAAGTAGTAACAAGTTAATGGTTCGAATCATGACCAAGGTGAGATAAATCATTTAAAATCAAATTACCCTAGGATGCATGTACTAACAGAGTAGGATGCATGTACTCTTATAACATTAGTAAGACCACAAAGAGGAGACTAAACATACCATCCACTGCTGCTGTTGAAGTGAACTCTTTATTTCAATGTAGCAGGACCTAAAAAAATGACGAGTTCGAAAGAATAGTGAGGAATCAGAAGAAGTTCCAGCAGACTACATACTCATTTAACATGAGTAAGAAGTTCTAATGCAGCTAAAGCTTCCCTAATAGTCGGTGGTATTCACATCCAATAAATGGTATAGATGGAATTGTAGCAAACCTTCACCAGGCTTCGCAACATCAATAAGTTCACTAGCGGCTATATCAATGCTTTTGCTGAAAAATTTGAAGTCTGCATTTAGATACACATTCTTTCAGAGTGGAAAAGGAACAAAGTAGAAGTAGAGGAGGCTGACAGACATATAATATGTGTGAATCTCAGTTCCAATATTACTTAATTAAGATTCATAATTCACTAATGCAACATTACTGTAACCAGAGTATAATAACAACATTTAAGGTTTAGTCACCTGGTGACATCCATGGCTTTATCAAAATGCAAAGGAAGTATAGGAATCAATCAATCGTCAGTCGTCACACAACCTGGGCCACAAATTACCAGCCAGGAAAGATTGCCCTCATCATCTGCATGCAAAGGAGTTAGGTAATCTCCAAAGCAAAATAAAGTTACAGAATCATTAAGCATGCTTACACATTCATTTATGGCTTTAAAACCCCTTAAACTAGTCTAATTTGAGTTTAAAGGATACCACCTGTATCCTCTCTCCTCCAAAACCTGTACCAAACAAAATCATATGTAAATTAAAAGTATATCATAAATAAAAAGAATGACAAAGTCAAAACCAAATCCAACGAGTAAAACATAAGGCTAAAATTGAATAGAAAGATCTATTTATACCTGGTAGCTAGATCTTCTCGCTTTCAGTATCGCATGGTCGATTTTGTTTCATTGTTGTTGTATCCCAAAGATTGGTAGCCCCATTCTTCCTCTCCCCTCGACTAGAATCAAAACCTAGAAAATAAGACAGAAGGGAAGTAAGAAATTTAAGCTAAAACAAAAATAAAACATGCAAACAATTGATTAAGTGGGATGCTTATCACAGTTAGATTGAACAAGGCCATTTTGGGCATTTTTTCTGTAGCTGATTCCTTTCATACTTAAATCAAAAGCAAGGCTGCCACTTAAGAAGTTAAGTAGTTCAACCAGTAACTTCAGCTGCTCTTCTACCCCACCTGCCAACCAAACCAACCCGAAACATCATCATTATCATCAATTGTGTTATCGTTTTACCAATCTTTCACCCATATTCCCCCAAAACACAACCTGTATTACATTTATTAACAGCGTCTACTTTTGTGCAATGAGTTGGAGGCAAGCAGCAAGACTTGGAGTGCTGCTAAGGCACACCAGAATCCCCCTCAACAGAAGAAGACTACAGCAACACAGAACTATCAGTTTCCATGCTGCTTATTGGCTTGAGAAAGCTGTCATTTCCATGGCTTCTAGCTTCGGCTTACACAGCTCTTCTGGATAAGCACTGATGGAAATCCGGAGGAAAATGAGATGCGGTCACCACTAGTTTCAATTCATCATCTGGAACAGCAGAACCATCTACCAATGGCTCAGCAGCTGTCTCCATAATCATCTCATTAACTTGCTTCAACTGATTGAATGGTATGTGGCAGCATTGCATCAGGAACTTCAACATCCTGAATTCAAACAAAAAGCAATCATATTTAGAAAGTCTTGAAACCATACACTAGATAATTTGAATAAACTACACCACCATAACAGATTTATCTCAATGGTTTCAGGGAAAATTTACCTCAACTGTGCCAAATGTCTGTAAGAGAACTCTTTCTTCTTCAAGCATTCAACATTGGGGGAGATGTTGGTGAAAAATGAGGGACATCCCTTCAAATCCAACAATCGTATTGAAGTAACTAAGCTGGTAAAACAGTCTAGCAATGAGAAAAATATTGATTGACAAATTAGAATCAAGGAAAATAACCCAAACTTGGAGGAAAATGGGAAGTTGTACAGTTGTTACATTAAACCGAAGTAGATCAAAAGAAAGAAGAGGCTCAAGCTTTTCCAGGAATCAATCCTTTCAAAGACAGGAACCAACCACTTAACTTCACCCTACCTGCTACCGGATAAAGCTTATACCAACAAATCAGTAACACTATCCAACTAAATCTAGAACCATAAGCATGCTATATGCTGGTAAAATAAATCCAAAAGATCAAGGGTAATGATTAACTGCCTGCTTTGGCTAGACACCTACCTCAACGAAGTTTAAACGATGCAAGAAGCCACCAATCTACAGCAATAGTGTTTGGCACCACAACTCCATCGACATGCATAATGCCGGTGAACTTAGGGTTAGCAGCAGAACCAATTGAAAGAACAAATTTGCAATTAAGAGCAAAGAAGAACAATGGATCTGTAATCGGACCCAAGGGAGAGGTCTCATTCACCTCAAAGATCTGAATCCACCCAAGTCGGCGAGGGACGTAGCCATGAGAGCCGCAAGCAGCGATGACGTATTGCAGCGATTCAACGAATAGGTTTTGTTTTTCTTCGAAGAAGTAGAAGGATTTGTTGTTAATGGAGGATTTTGATGGTGGTCGAGAATTTAATCGTAGCAGGGCAGGCGAACCAGGCATCGATGGCGATAAGGAATCGAATTTTTGGGTTACGGATTTATTTTCGGGGAGAGCAGAGCAGAGGAGGTTTAGTTCGAAAAATACATTTGCTTTTATCCAAAAATTTCAACGATTTGGATTATAAAAAGATGAGAAAATATGCAGCGAATTCCAACACCGCTGCAGAAGTCGCTGCCCAAAATAAAATTTTGAAAGTCCAGCAGCGGTTAATATATTCGCTGAAAGAAAACCCCTGGGCTAGGCCCATTTCCTTGTAGTATCATAGCCTGCTGTACTCTCTATATACAATCCGAAGAGAGCTCAAAACCGAACCCTAGGGCTAGTCTAATCTCGTACGTGAGCAGCCCGTGCATGGGCTTCATGGGTTATAAATGGGCTAGGCTATATACAAAGGCAGCAATGAAAATGAAAAGAAAGAATGGGCCGATCCGCTGCCTATATACTCCGCTAACACATATGTACAGCTTGTGGGAGAATTAAGGTGTGTTTGATGAAGCAATCGTTCTTGGTTTTCTTTGTGCGTGTTTGAAATTTGGCTAGGGATCAGCTTTCCATGATATATATGTAGCCGGTCCAACATGAAATAAAAGGATTATTTGGTATTTTTCAATTCACACAAAAAAAGAACCCAAAGCAAGGGCAAACGAGGGTGGGCTTTCTTTTTGCAACGTTTGCACCATTTAGTGACGGCATGTCGTTGCTAAAAGTATCGCAACGTAATTTTGAACCGTTCAGGTGCATTGCATGTATTATGGTTCTTTCAACGTGATCAATATGTGGTAACAAATATTTCGTGTTAATTTAAAGGTACACAGAGCTTGGAAAACCCCTTCAACCGAAAACAAAAACAAACAAACTACAAAATGCATCGTCCCCTCCGCGCACTACAAACAAAGCACAAGCTTTAAATTTACAGAGCATAAAGCAGCCATGAGAGACAAGAGAATGCAATGAAGATATCGAAGTCCTCTTCGTAAATCGTTGGTTCGTTACACTATATACACAAGCAGCAAGGCGCCATCCTCAACATGCATATCTATAACAAGCTACTCGAAAGGAAACTCAAAGCAGCTAATATTAGAGTAATTTGAGTATCCAGCCATGGCGATGAAGATGATGATGATGATGCAGCCCCTCAGTATTGCTAAGTCGGCGGCCGTCTTGCTTCTCCTCGTAACATGGGTTGCAAGGGTTTTGCCTTCAAGTGAATCGAGAATCATCTCTCAGAAGTCTGGTAATGATGCTCTGACTAACTTCAGGTATAGTCTCGATAATGGTATAGTAAATCGAACATGATGATATATTTTTGACACGTAGCATTATAGTATATGAGACATTATAGGACGTTTCTAGTCATGTGGTTTTTCCCCCCAATATATTACAACCGTGGATGTGTCATCTTATAGATCTTCTCATGTAGATTATAATTAATCCAAATTATTTTGTTTCCATCATGGTCAGTTGAACAAATAATGAGAGATAAATTGTATGTACGAACGTCGTAGTAGTTGTGCATAAATTAAGAGGAGATGAACGTACTTTGGGTGACATTCAAAGTACGTACGGTATACCTTCAGTAAGAAAATGATATCTAGATCTTGAATTGACCAGAGGTTGGCATCAGGTATTATTCTCAAACCCTTAAATATCGGAATCTAGATCTTAATTCTGCAAATCTCATACACTAAGATTAGTTTAATTGGAAACAAAAATCGACGATCATGATTTGTCAGAATATATGCAACAAATTATATGCATAATATTAGGGGTTAGACTCTATGATTTAGATAACTAAGACCTAGAGTTCACTCATCAAGGGTTAGAATATAGTATCATGCCCAAAAATCTAGTTAATTCAAGGTTTCGATAGCATTTTCTTACTCAAGATATGTCGTACTCTAGAATTTACCCAATCTACAATATAGAAGCCACCATATAAGTGTGGGGTTGTGCCTGCATTGTATAACTTGAGTTCTGCCCTAGATCTTTTTTCCATTTTTCATTCTTGGACCATGTACGTACCTTGGCACAACAATTTTTACGATACTCTACGCAACTACGCAAGTTTATATCAATTAACTATCCTGTAAGTAAAATGTTACTTCATGCAAATTGTGTAACCTCATGCAATATTGTCAACTGATCAACTCATATATAGTAACGCAATCGCATCAATAATGCAGTAACTACCAAAACGTGGACTCTCATCTCATGCCTAAGAGAGGTACAAGTGTGGTCATAATACGTCAATCATTCAACAACGATACTGCTTCCGTACAGGAAGACTGTGGTTACTATTGCAACGACCGTGCATGTCATCACTCTTACCCATGGCTGTGTAATGGTCAAGATCCTAACAAATGCAAGAACACATGCATCTGTCTGACCCGTACTTGTCATTGCATCTGCACTTCATAAATATAGTTCATATACTTAACAGAAGGGAGATCCATGGAGGTGCAAGCAGGCATTGTCGCCTTCACTCTGATCAACATCCTTTGATGTGCACTTTCATATCGATGATTTGGTTGTTTTCTGCTTTTCCTGGCCGACAGTACTCTCGTAAAACACCCCAATAATTGTCTGCTGGTTGACTGCTCTCAATGTTTAATGGTGATTTCGATTTGTTCTCTTTTTCTTTAATTTAATATTACCGGACACTTTTTCTTCCTCATCACGACCTTGTTGACCAATTGACAACCGTCACCTTGGTATTTGCTCTCATCGCCTTGGGGACCCCACACCCTGTCTTGAGGATTGGTTAATGTCAACTTTATGGTCTAAACCTCGAGCAGAGGTTGGTGTTAAGCTGCACTTCACTCATATTTTGCCGTCTTGATGAAGTCTTGATCACATCTTTGACAGCCTCAATGACTCCATATTAGTTCATTTTGTTATCAAGTAGGTATCCTCGTTATCTAGCCCGTCTCATCGGCTTGCTATATATCCCTAGCTTGCAAGTCATCTCAATGAGTTAGTTAGACCTTGTTACCCACCTTGTCGGCTTGCCACCAAGTCCGTCTCCCTGTTTCAATCAGGATTTTTTAGAGCCAAATTTTATACCAACGGGCTTGTTATAAGGGAGAGGAGCCTGCTTGCCACGCATGCCAGAGATGCAAATGATTGAATCCCTTGTCAATTTTTAAGGAACCAATCCGGCAGGCAAATGATTGAATCCCTTCAACCAAAAACAAAATTGCATTGTCTCCTCCGCGTGCTGTGCAAGCACAACGCAAAAAAGCAGGTGCTGATGTTAACTACTTGAGGTATCCCAGCAATGGCGGCAAATAAAGAATCCACAAGAGACAAGAGGAAGCAATGTAACAGCTAGGGATTTCAAATCCCTAATTCCTTTCAGCTAGACCGTTGGAGGAGAGCGGGACTCACTTGAAGAAGAAGATGATTCAACTTGATTGATGCTCACCGTTTTGGTTAAACACAAATCAAACTCACCGTTTTATCTTGTAACTCCCTTTTACTATCACTAAAAGAAAAAAGAGTTTCGGCTACCATTTTCTTGACAACCGTAGAAAAATGGTTGCTTATAACCAGGTTTCAACAATCATTCACAAAATAGTTGCTAATGCCAAACTCTAGTGCAACCATTAGTAAAATAGTCGCTGATAGGTCAAAACTTCAGCAACCATTCATAAAATGGTTGGTGATGCCTGGCTCTCTAGCAACTATATATGAGTTAAATAGTTGATAGTAAACCAATACTACCGCATAGGGGTGTTCAAACGGTGTGGTTACCATGGTAACCGTTTTAACCAATACTATTTGGAATATTTGGTTTGGTTAATTTGGATAATTGGTTTGGTTTGGTTGAAGTTCTTAGCTTGTTTGGTTTAGGTGGTTTGGTTTAGTTTCAGACACTACTAACCAGCCAAACCAAATTAACCAGATAAATAATTAGCCATATATCTAATATATACACATACTTAATACTTTGAATAACCACTCAAGCGTTAAACGTTCATCCCTTTTAGACTCATAAAATATAAAGCTTGATATTGTTGCTATAATGTATATTTGTATATGTAGAGTGTAGACCACAACATATGACGCCTAATTTAGATAAATCTCATACATTATGTTGGATGTAAACTTGAAAACAAAGTCCTTTTCAGCCTATGAAAATTGCTAAAAGACTAAGTCAATTCAAACAAACACAACAATTCATTAACCCATACCATTGTGATAAATTTTTGTTAGGTGAATACTTCTATACTAACCGTAAGATAATTATCTTAGTTACATGTATTTATGTTAAGAGTCAACTATAACTATGTGTTGATTGTTATTTTTTAATCATTATATAAATTGTGAATTGATAAATTAACCGAAATTTTTCTCACTTAATGATAATGTGATTTTATATTGGTTAATCTGGTTAACCAAGTAACCAAACCGATTAAACTTTAGTTTGATTAATTAGGTTGTTGTATTAGTTTGGACGGTTTGGTTATGATATTGTATTCCATGGTTAATAAAATTTAGCCTTATTTGGTTTGGTAATAACCATGGTAACCATTTGAACACCCCTACTACCGCAACCATTCAAAATATGGTTGCTGATACCCTACTCTAGTACAACCATTAATAAAAGTGTCGCTGATAGTTCAAAACTTCAGCAACCATTTGTAAAGTAGTTGCTGATACATGACTCTCTAGAAACAATGAAGTAAATGGTTGACTCTAGATCATAACTTCAACAACTATCAAGAAAATGGTTGGCGATATTCTACCTGTGAGCAACCATGAATTAAATATATGCTAATAGACCAAAGCATCATCAACCATTTTAGAATGATTGGTAATACGCATCTCTTGAGCAATCTTAGTAAAATGGTCCGTAGATTCTTTCAAATTAAATTAATCATGTGTTAAGGATGTAAAGGAACAAATTAAGCTGGGTAGTTGTTGATATCCTACCCTTAAGCAACCATGAGGCAAATAGTTGCTAATAAGTCAAACCTTCGGCAACTATTTTGTAAAGGGTTGATGATACCCCATCCTTAAGCAACTAAGAGCGAAAGAGTTGTGGATAAACAAAAACTTCAACA